ATCATAGAAGAGTGCAGACCTTGGCCACTTATCAAATTCTTGGAGTGCCCCCCCCCCATCAAAAATTACCATCCCGAACTAGGTCAGGTTTAGGATACTTCAGCAAAGCATCTGCCCTCCTGCATCTCATGTGGTTAGAGAAGGACTTCAGTCTCCAGAGCTATCAGCACCACATACACATCAGTGGCACAACTTTTATATACACTTTTAGAAACGAGGGGATGCTTCAAGTGAAGAGCATAAATACAATAAAAAGTTAAATATGGTGGAAAACATGCATGTTTTCCACAAGCTATCTGCTGAACATAGTATTGTATATGCCACTGAAAGCAAGACAGCCCATAGTAAAGGATAAATGACTTCTACTGTATGAAAACCTGTACAATGGAAACTCTGCAGGTCAATGGCCTTTCCATATTACAAATCTGGCAGCATTGAATTTTTAACTAACACAGTGCGCAGACTGTGTGAATGTGAATTAGCTCTGTTAACACCACTTTTAGAAATCATTCAAGACTACCTTGAGAACAGCTTCTAAAATTAGCAGTTCAACAAAATTACCACCCCAACCCTCCCTGCACACCACCCAGCATAACTGGGTCAGCAGAAACTTATTTAAAAGTGTAACAAGGTAAAATGTATAATGCAGATGAAACTCTTCTGGGAATCATTGCTCTCAACCTTTGTGTGTGGAAAAGAGTCAAGGCATGCGGACCGTCCACCTGTGGTTTATTAACACATCTGCAGTGTCTCAAAGTACATACGTTCAAAGAACATGAAGAAGTGTAATTTATCTCTGGATGAGTAACCATTAACAACTTCTTTCCTGGCTTCATTGCAGAAGAAGCCAATCACAGACACACCCTGGCAACTCAAAAATACTTTAACAAATACTTGTAACACAGCATCAATATAGAAAAAGTGAACACTGCACAATTAACAAAGGCAGTATGTTTCAACATTTTACCTTTTAATGCAGTAGATATTTGGTAGAGAAAGGGACCTGTTAAAAGAACAGATGTTAATTTTTAAAAAGATTTGCTCTTGTTGCAGAACTTGAAGTGAACAGAAGTTTTAACAAGTATTAGCTTCAGTAGGTTCCACCTACAGCAAGCAAGCTATAAATATGTGGGCCTGATTTTCTTTATTCTATGGCTTTCTTTCAGGGCACAGTCTACTTTTTATCTGTGCAAGTACCGAGATGTGCACTTTACTTTAATTTTTGGGTAAAAGAGTCACCCTATAATTTCTCTCCAAACAAAAAACCCTGCAGTCATGGGGAGGTGAACAGGAGAGTGTAAGAAACCAGAGTAATTAGTGATTATGCCACGTTGCTTTTAACATAACTTTTATTCGGCACATGGTGACAGATGCCTTTGGCTTAGGGCTGCCAACTCCCACTTTCACCAGGAATCACACCCTTTCTCCCAGATGCTACCTCAGCCAAACCAGCAGATTTTGGGCACTAAAAGTCCAGCACAGTAGTGATGCGAAAGCAGGTTCCTTTATCTGCTTTCACTTTGTCCCACTCCAAGAAGTGGCCAGCACCATCACTGCAGCCTTTGGAGGCAAAGGGGCATGTGTGTGTCTATTCACTGAGCGCTGACTCTGCAGATACTATTGGCCTGAAACTGTGGCAAATAGGAGCTGCAGGGACAGTATCTGCAGACAGTGGCACATAGAGACACTGTGGACCACTGCCAAAGGGATACACCTTCAGGAGCTACACCACCTATGTAAGTGACAAACCCCTCTCACATTCCAATCTCCTGACCCAGTCTAGATCCCACACCCCAACTCCCTCCCAGTATTTATACCCTGGCTCCATCTCTCACACCCAAACTCTCTATCAGAGTCCATACTCTCCTCTTGTGTCCCAAATCCCTGCCTGGTCAAAGTGAGTGAAAGAGGCGGATGGAATGGAGAGAATGGGGGTCAGGGCTTCAGAAAAGAAGCAGCACAAGAGCCTTTGAGTCTGCACAATCAGACAGTTGACAGCCCTACTTTGGCCTGACATAGTGTTGCACTATCAGAGTGATGGTAACAACAGAAGGAAAGCTAGTGTAGACAAGGCAAACACATTTTTACCACAACAAATTCTGATCTACAAGAATGGTAAAAAGATACCCCACTATTTTGACCCAGCTGCATTAGTGCTACGCTAGTGAGTAGGGATGTAAACAATTAGTCAAGTAGTTGACTATCTGATAAGCCTAGGCTTAGCGGGTAGTTGAGTCAATAATACTAACTATTGCCCCACACACACACACACACACACACTGCTGCTTCTATCAGAGGCAACAAGGTGGATGGCAGCAGGAGCAGGTGCAGGGGAGAGCCAGCTCCCCCCAGCACCATCTCCACTGGTTAGGGCAGGGCTCTTACTACATTTAAAAGGCAAAGCCACAGCAGAGTTAGCTCCTGGGGTGACGTGAGCATGGACTACTTAGTCCCAGCTCACGCCACCCCTGAGAGCTAACCCCGCTGCAGTTCAGCCGTTTAAATGTAGTAGAAGTTGGGTGATAGGAGCTGCTGCCCGGCTCCTACTACATTTAAATTGTAGAGCTGTAGCAGGGGTAATGAGTGCCTCCCCACCTTATCGGCTAGTCAGGTAGTCCATGAAAATTCCATCAACCACTCAATTGATTGATTATTCACATTTTAACCTCCTTACTAGTGAGGCTGCACTAGTGATAAGGAGAAACCCCCAACACACACCATACGGATACGCTTTGCATTTAAGCTCTTTTGAAAAAAAATCCAAGGAATTAAGTTCCCTTTCTATTTGTAAATCCCATTGCATCTGCAGCACACGCTGTGTGGTGCCCTTTCATCTTTCAGGCATCTACAGATGTAGCATTATCCTCTCTCTTTTAGAAGCATGACGACTAATGGTCTTTCAGGAGCTTCCTTTAGTTTCCATTTGCCAAAACTCTCAGTTTCTTTTAGCCAAAAAGTGATTAGTAATAAGGGTTAGTATAACAAGCTATTAGGTGATGCAGGATCCTTTTCTGACTATATAAACGGAACACCTCTTGATAGCTATATACAACTGTAATGATCACTTTATATTGAAAGCCTGGAATCATCCCCAACAGTAATTGTTTTGTAGTCTTCGTATATACTTTTCTGAAGCTTGAAGAATACATAAGCTGGGAACCTCATTACTAGTACCTTTTGTAAGAAAATTAGTGGAGGTAAGAAAACAGTTTAACAAAGGAGATCCAAGAATGTGATTAGAACTCATGTAGTCACAAGCTACTCTCAGCACTTATGCCAGTGCATCCACTGAAAATCTGGTCTAAGTTTTCAATAAAATGTAAAAATATAACTAGAGATAACATTTTCACTGGAAAAAAGAGCTATATTATATGCCCAAAAGGAAATGATTAGGAATAGCCACACTTGGCCTGATTAAGAGATTATTTCATCCTTCCGATAAAAATATTCATTTAAATTTTAGTAGTTCTGTCATTAAGCTGGAACTACTTTGTCCTCTACTAAGTAAAAATAACTTCCTCGATCTGTATACCTCTTGTCTAACCATGCACCAGAATTCATTGGCTCTGCTGTAAGGAGCCACATTTAACCCTTCTTCCACGGATACAGAACAAGAGGGAAATTTGGCGTAAGGGAGCACCAAAATTACAGAACAAATCCCCAAGCCTGACACTGTCCCCTTCCCCTGGTGAATTAGTAAGTAAAGGGTTCTGAAGATAACTCCATCTCACAGTTTTGATGACTAATAAGATACCCAAATGTCATAACAGCAATTTGGAATATTTACCAAACTATTTTCATTCTGGTTCTGGGAATGGCCCACAGGTTCCCTCCACCAATAGCTCTGATCATATGACATGCACCAAGGAGCTTTAAAGACTTGCACTGTTTGAATTCTGTAATAGCATCCACTGCTACTTCGGTAGGTACTTTTTAAAATTAAAAATATTTCAGTGCATTCCATCCAAAGTACTCTGCAAGCATTAAAGTTTGCCTCATATAGGTTGTGATTGTTATGGGTTATTTTCCCATTTTAATAACATGAAAAATGGACACACACAGAAATTAGAATAGTGATAGAGTAGCTAGAACCAAGGTGTTTGCTCCCAGACCTGCATTTAAGGCACAAGGCAAAAGTTGTCAGACTAAACCTTACAGGCCTGCCCCACATGTATAATTAAAGGAACATTATTCCTTACATTATTTTATCCAAACTCTGGATAATGTAAGCAGTGGAATCAATGTCCTTATGACTTCGTTGCACTTACATTTGTTTATTGTGGATCATAGTTACACAAGTACACAGAATCCCATAGCACATGGAATGACTGGTCCATCAAATCTGGCTTCCCACCTTCATCAGTGGTCAATGCAGGATTCTGACCAAGGTGAGAACCCAAAATACATATGACTGTAGTGCTCCACATGGGGTGAACCACAGCTTCTAGTGCTGACCCAGCAGTAAATGAGAGTATGACACATGATATCTGATGAAGCATGCTTTCTAAAACAGGAGCAAAAGACAGGACTATGTAGCACTTTAAAGACTAACAAGATGGTTTATTAGATGATGAGCTTTCGTGGGCCAGACCCACTTCCTCAGATCAAATAGTGGAAGAAAATAGTCACAGCCATATATACCAAAGGGGTGTTGGAAACATGCTTTGAGAATATAAAGCACTAAAAGTATGATCTTTAAAAACAACGAACTTACCCAGAAGCATTTCCAGACCCATTTGAAACCCACCTACCACGGTATTTAACTCCACGCATTTATTCAAGTCAGTCCTCATTTACACACCTAACAACCGCTGCAGCAGCTAGTAATAGGGTTGAGGATTTGACAATCAAAAAGCGTCCTATGCTCAGCCCCGGGGCACAGGCTCGGGAAGAGCCGACGTGCACCTGTTTGGGCAAACGGCGTCCCTAGACAGTGGCACCCTCCGATGCAGCGCCGCGCCCGGCTGCGGGGAAGCAGCGAGCCCGGGCGCCCCGCTCACCTGCAGGGGGAAGGCGGCCGCCTTGTTGCCCACGTAGCCGCGCACGACATGGCTCTGGATGGAGAGCACCCGGCACTGCGCCTCC